CTCGCAATTTGCATGTTACAGAGAATGATGGTCGCAGAAGTTTCTTGAACTTTCATAATTTTGCCAGGTCTTTAGAACGGGCTCTCGACTTATTAGCTGGAAGACTTTTGACTCAATAGACCATCGCAGCAAAGCACAAGTTTCTCTTTAAAGGTTATGGAGCCAAACACTTCAAACCCGAACGAGATACTCACGGACAACAACTGCTTCATGTTGGAGGTAAATGCCCACATGTCGCTAAAATGAAGCCAGAAGATGCCCAGTTGAGTGAATGAAAAGTTGCTGAGATGAAAGCGCTGGCTGAGGTGGCACGAATGCTGAGCCCATCGTATCAGTCAACAATTTGGAGCTCAGGTTCTACTTTGGAAGCGTGGGAGATTCTACGTACATTCTTGAAAAAGCAGAGTCAGCACAAATGGTATAGCTGCGCACGCAACTCTACACGAATTTTCGCTTCATGCGGAAGGTGTTGAAGTAGCGCCGCGTAATAAGAGCTGGACTAGCCAACTGACTCGACAAATGATGACTGGGATCCGCAAATCACGTTTGGCAAGATCTGATTGGGAGATAATGGAGTGAGTGCTGGATGTGATTACATCACATCCAAAACTCCCCCGCCCTGTCGGTGCGTCTCGAGGGCTGCTGCTGATTTCTTTGCTTGCTTGCTGGGTGAATTTCAAGACAAGTTTTTGAAAAAGATGGATATGCACATGCTTGGGCGAAAAAAACATCAGATTGTTGCCAGTGATCTATTGAATGATTATTCGGCAGACGTCCAGCGTTTGTCAAGTACGATTATTCCTTTCCTCGCTCCTCCCGCAGATGAACTAGAAGGGCGCACCGGAAGGTAGTTACGGACATGTAGGAAGGGTAGATTGTGTAGCTGCTAACGAATTCACTTCGGCATTTGCCTTCCGCTACTTAACAGCAGGTCATATGATGGAGCACATCACTCACTTTGTTGACCTATGCTCTCAGCTAGTGGCGGTGGGAGAAGGGCTGTCAGACGATAAAAAAATTGTTATTCTGCTTAGTAGCTTGCCCTCGGAGAACGACGTCATGATAAGAATCATCGAGCCGCGAGACGGCGTCATGTTATCGGATGCAAAGGAATTGCTTCGACGTGAGCGTGAAGGCAGTGAGTACGAGGTAAGCGTGAAGGCAAGGAGGGGTGTCTTCCGGGCAAGGACGCACAGAAGTGATGGCCGTGGCAATCGACGAGGTGGTATTAAATGTCGTGGTAATGGTGGACACCGTGGCTTTGCGAGTCGGAAGAATGGCGAAGAAACAATGAGGGGCCAAGTGGGTTCCAGATGAATGTTTCTTGTGTAAACGGTTCGGTCACAAGAAGTTGTCGTGCCCTCAACGGAAGAGCGAAGTCACAACGATTTGTATTCTCAGCAATAAGTGGAACCGCTGATGGGGAAACTGTATGCCTTTAGATAGTGGTGCAAGTTCTCAATTTCTTATCGTATCGCACTCTGGCTTAACAAATCAAAATCACTGTAGCCATGGGACAACGACTTAAATTTGTTGGCGCTGGTGTCGTCAGGTTCCGTTTGGTCGGAGGTACCAGTGTCACACTGACGGATGTGCTGCATGTGCGCAGCTTGACCGCAAATTGGTGTCTATATTTGATGTCATGGCAAAGAAATGGTGGTGCAGCTCCAAACTGACCATGCTTCACTCAGACTCAACAGTAATATTATAGCTCATTTTTCGTGTCGGCAAGTTTTTTCCCGGGTCAATTACGCAAGAACTCGTCGATAAAGTGAATTTCGCGATAGGAAGCCAGTGGTGACGGTAGCACTTGATTTTTCACGCTCGTCATGGACATGTAGACCTCTCCAAGATTAACGCGATTATCAAGACCTGTAAAGGTATCAAGAGCGTGAAGGGCTCAATTAATGGTGTCTGTAAAGAATGTATACGAGGAAAAATCTCAACTTAAGCGTTCGTCTGGCAGTCGAAAACGGCAGTCGGGAAGTTAAGTCAAAATCACACGTGCATTCGAGATTGTTCATAGTGATGTTATGGCAACGACCAAGCAATTGAATGGTAGAGCCCAGTACATGGTCACATTTATCGATGACCTCACGCGCTTTCCATGTGTATCTCAATTTGAGCAAGGCATTGGTACTAGACAGTTTTAAGGAGTACAGCGAGTGAGTGAAAAATCAGTATGTGAGAAGGGTCAAGTGCTTTCGGAGCGACAATGGTGGAAAATACCATCCAATTTGTTTTGCGCACGATCAAGTATTGCACATCAGATCAGTGTACCGTATTCTCCCTAGCAAAACAGGCTCACCGAACGGGTAAACCAGACACTAATGGAGATGACACGCTTGATGCTTCACGCGAGGCATATTAAACGTCAATGGTAGGTAGAAGCAACGATGACAGCAGTGTATATCATCAACAAGATCCCAAACTCTGCTTGGCCTCGCATGAGACCATTACAGCGTTGACAAGAGTACAGCCTACACTGAAGTATTCTCGGATTGTTGGGTCGCGCGGATTTGTACATGTCGACAAAGCCAAGAGGTCTAAACTGGATGCGAAGGCTTACCGATATTTGTTTTTTGGTACGCAGAAGGACCAAAAGCCTATCGAATTCGGGACTACGATGCTAAGCGCCTGTCACAACTGGTACCATTTAGCTGAACGAGCAAATGCCATTCATGTACGTGAAAATGGATCTGTGCCAAAAGAATATCAAGTAACGCGACCAGAGAAGAGTTTGATGAAGGGTAAGCACCACCGAATGTTCCAGTTCAAGACTGTGTAGAAGACGTGTAGATTGAAGCCATTACTGGCAATGACAAGGCAGAATACATGGAGTTGAACTCACCGAACCTGGAACGTTTATTTATTTCGAGTGAACTGCAATCATGGTGCCGGAACGGGGGAGTCCAGACACTTCTTACCGTATTCGAAGTGAACTCTTGTTCAGAGATGGCGAAATTCGATGCAGAACGCCTACCCACTCTTCCAACTGTACTCCACCGCAACATAGCGTGCGTGTGACATATCCATCTGACATAGATTTGACAAATATTCAGCGTGTATCGAGCCCACCAGGTGCAATTGCGGCAACACAGCAATTGTGTGGTGGTGATCTTCTCGTATTTGGTGCGCTCAAAGCGGCTCATATACGCCCCACCACAAAAAAAAATGCTGCCAAGTTTGGACGTTGTGAGGAGTGAAGGTGGATTTTACTACTCACCAATGGCTCAGATGCAAACGACAACGCACAAGTGGATCACTTCTCACTGATAGCGAAGCTGATAGTAAGCAATTACGTTTGGGTAGTTACGAAATTGTACTATCCGCAATGGAAGTGCCTCGTAGCTATCAGGAGGCAAGGGCCTCGCCAAAAGCGAAAAGCTGGAAGGAAGCTGTTCTCCCGAGAAATCCGATCACACGTCCGATCTACTGATGCGACCGCGAGAAGCAAAAAATCTCGGCTGCAATTAGGTAAATTTTCTTAAACATGACAAGAATGGCAATGTGAAGCGTTACAAGGCAAGGCTTGTTGCACTTAAATACCTGCAGTCTCAAGGTGTCGACTACACTCACACATACTCCCCTGTAACGAGTATGAACACTATACGTGTATGTCAGCGGTGTGCCACCAACGTCAACTTTTAATTCGCCAATTTTACATCAAATTCGCCTTCATCAATGGCGATCCCGAATATGTGTCTGGAACTGCCAGAAAAAGTTTATGTACCTGCTTGTATGGTCTGCCAACTCCGACGGAACTTCAATGGGCTCGAACAAGCTGCAGCAGTATGGTTTAAAGCCATTTTTGCTGACTTAACGGAGCTCGGAATCTCACAGCATCGAGCATATCCGTATTTAAATTCATCCGCCATGATCGAAGTTGACGACCACGCATCTCTGGTATTTTTAGTTCTCTATGTGGATGACTAACTTTCGGTGAAAGACTGAAATGAAGGTACAAGCAGTGCACATTGCGCATGCTCCACATTCAACGGAGAAATCGCTTAGAGATGCTATCATTGGTGTGCTGCAATTAGGGCCCTGCGCTACTTAACATTGGAATCCGAGCTCTAGCGATGATAATTGGGGAGGAGATCAAGCTACGCGTCGTTCAACTTCTGGTGTTCTGGTATTGAATGTGAAGCTCCACTTTGTACAAGAGCCAAACTGCAGCGGCGTTTGTGCGACCGGTATACAAATACGTTGGGCCTATGAAAGGTTCTTTTCAACAAGCTTTGTCGCGATTATTGCTCAAGAAACAGCTTTCATGTCATACGGATGTTCGTACTAACAGAATATAATAACAAACTATGTCTAAGCCTATGACAGGCGAGTAAGATGTAAAATTATTAACCACAATCGTCTGCAATAACCTCAGTGCGACGACGCGAGCTTCAAAGTAAGTCATGCTACCATTTTCATTGAGCTTAAGCGCAAACACTCATTTATATCGAATGACTGTACCATCCGAACGCCGAGCAAAATCTCATAAATTTGTGCAAAACGTGGGAGCGTTGCTCCGTGTTGTGGTCAAGTACGTAAAGTTTTTGTAAAAATGATAGTCGAACATGTATCTAGTTCGCGGGAAACATGATGGCCCATCAGACTTAGAGCATCGGCAGCCATCGTGTTAATCTCAGAGTTTGTACTTTCTCTGAGGCAAGAAAGAACTGGTCGCTTCCACACGCGGCTGCTCGAACTTGCAGAATATCGCATCAACCCACTATCATATTCCTCATATACAAAATTTAATTTTTTTTAACGAATAAAACGTATGTACGATACATTTATGTACTAAATCTTGACTGATATTAAGAGAGATACAACATCAATAGATATGTGCTTCAATTATTTGTCGTCGTGCGCGACCAAAGCAGCATGTGTTGGCTTCTAAATGGCTGTGATAGTACCAGCTTTGTTTCTGTTCATAAATGTGTTCAAAAATTTTCAGCCAAGGTTGGATGTCCCGAGAGCCGGATAAACCAGATTTTTTTTGTGATGATAAAAACAAATACATAAGGCTACGTCTGCCTGACCCAGTCATTTGTCACTTGGTTTGCGGTATATCGTTTCCCAATTTTCCTGGTGATGTTCGTGCCGATCCTTTCAACTTTATTACTGCTTGATGTCAGTGTATCTTCCACGTCTAATTCGAGTACAGTCCAGCATGAAGACCCAATCGTGTTCGTACGTCACTTGAATGGTTCGCTGCCTTCTGCAAATAGTAGCTTGACCGTTGATGAAGGAGAATTGGAGAGTTACGATGACAGTGCGCAAGACAATATCAGACCAGATGAAAGTGATGGGGAGATAAGAATATTTTCTTTCATCAAGAATTGGATCTCGCCGCATCCATACAGCAAGTTGGTACATGTTAACGATGGCGATCCACTCATGGATGCAGTAAGAAAGGCGGGTATACTGTTATCGAAAAAGAAACTCCGTAAAAGAGAAGAAGAGTGGCTATCGAACACGTACATCAAGATGCTTCACGAGGCAAGTAAGGGAGATTCGAGACCATTTGCTGATGTGTCCTTCTCCATTTTGCTTATAACCCCTACGACAAGCCAATTGACACAGAATCGATTTCTCGAATCTAAAACAAAGATTTCAGCAATATTTGAACTTTTGATGCTGCAAGTACAAGACGAATCTCTTAAAGGATTCTTCAGTTTACATCTACAGAATCCGTTGCTGTCTTATGCCACCAAAATGTACGAGATAAATGGCGATTCAGAATTCCGACTATCAGTTGCAGACGACTTAACTAACCTTCTTACAGCTAAACGAAACGGAGGGTCTTTGATAACTTGGTTGGGAACGTGTGAGTGTGATACCAGTAACATTAATTCTCTCATACAGGGTTTATCGCGACATCCTACTACCCTCAACCTAGCGTATCGCTTACATGCGTTGCGATCCAGCAGTTTTATTGAGCTCTTCGGTCTTATTTCCAGTTATCCATTTCGTGATATAAATCCGGTCCTTGATTATGTCGCTTATGTTCGATTCAACTTCATTGAGCACGAGGCAAAGAGTTCTGCTGTTGTGGTGCCTAATTTACATAAGTTTCTGAAATCTCGTGGATATAAAGATGAAGTAAAATTAAAAGTGTTGTTTTCGGAATATTCGGAAAGGATATCGACGAGCGTTAATCAACCTCTATATCATGTGTATACGACTTCCATTTTGAACAAGCTCAACGAGGGTCAAGTGCGTTTGCTGAAAGCAGCGGTGCAGTCTAACTATCATGCTGGTTTGGTCAAAGAGGCCTTGGAAGCATACAGTCAGGTCGCTGAATCTGCCAGGATGCTAGGCGGTCAGGAAATGGAAGATACGATTAAGGCGTTGCTGGATGACGAGAAACTTATGCAACGACTCCAAGAGGTGCTCAAAGACAAGAGAGCAGTGCAATTGCTTCAAGCAAATTCGAACGATGTAATGGATTTAGAACACCTTCCATTGCCTTTGAAAAAAGACGGTGTGGAGATTAAGGAGGAAAATGATGAAGTTGTGACTAATCTCCTCAAGTTGATCACGAACAGGGATACATTGCAACCGCTCAATATGTTTGCGGCGGATAATGAACGTGTGACGAGGCTTACAAATGTTATAGAACGATTCAAATTACTTGATGACATGTTAAGCAGTACGGAACTGGATACGGTGTCAACACTCGAAGCGATTCTCGTCGATCAAGATAAAGTGTCATTTCTCAAAGAGGCAATGAAGGATGACCAGCGTTTGAAGTTATTTAAAGAGGCTTTGGAGGACAAGAAAAAGATCGATGTCTTCAGGAATGGTCTGGGTGATAATAACCTAAGGATGGTGTTTGATCAAGTAATAAAGGATATGAATCAAGTGTTTTCTCTCAGAGTGGCTATCAAAGATGATGATCGTGTGAGGTTCTTTCGAGCGGCTCTGGAGGATAAAAAGCAGGTGGAGGAATTCGTTAACGCATTGAATCAAAAGAAATTGGCGAATATTTTCAGATCGATCCTCAAGGAAGAAAAGCAAGTGTATTGATTTGAAAAAGCTGTTGGTAAAGTTTTTTATGAACCGTTTAAAGAAGCTTTGAGAAGGAGAGACAGAGAGATGCTAGCAGCGGAGATGTTAGAGTATCTCAAGTCACTGGACGAGGTGACAGACCGTAGTATCAATTGATAACATTGTCTTTTCAATTCTCATCTTTTCTATTGACTTTATGAAACCGTTGACAGACACTTATTTGTACCAATAATGTTAGAATATGTAGCTCCATGTCCTTAGATACCCGTTAGTGGGCAAATTAAAAGGCCTCAAAGTCAATTTAAATTGTTAACCTTCCGAAAGAAGAAAAGCGCAACATATTGACGGATTTGTTTAACACGAGATCATGCTTGTAATACTCTCAGAAAACGAATCAAGTTTTAACTTGACAATTACTGTAGCTGCTTAGTAACACAGTGCTTGACCCTTTGCACATTTTGTATAATTAAAATGTACAAAATACACTACAGTAAAATTGTACGAAATTTGTACTTTGGCGTGTCTGTAAGTACATCTGATGGTACTCGGAAAGGAGGAGTCCAAGATACATGTGGGCTGCCAACTGCACGTCACGAAGCAAATTTATATTTTTGCAACATGCTGAGCTTCCTCTCTGCAAGGAGCTTGGAGATTCCGTTGCTCTTGGTAGCACACCAATCTTAGTCGTGGAGAGTCTAAACGCTAAAATATCTGCTTTTGTGACAGTAGACAAGCTCAATAAGCTTTTGTCAATATTTAGATGACATCAGGACTTTAGCGACCAAAAGATTCATAGCGTTAATCGCTCTCCCAGAGGCAATCACTAGCTCAACGAATGCACCGGTGATGCACGTTCAGAGCGCCTAAAGCAGGCACTGCTCGAGGAATGGATGGGTCTCATCGTGAGGCCGCTGATGCTAAGCGCCCAGGCTTTTGAGGGTGAGGATGGGGAAAATTTCAACCTGTAGACTAAAAACACTCTGATGACCATATATTGGCTTAGCTTTGAATGGAGCTACAGCGCGTCTCGCTTGCTCAATCAAGGCTCAGAGACCTCACGCGAGATTGGGTACATGCGTGAAATACCCTAAATAAACGGCGTCTTCGACGTGAGAAAACTTGGTTTGACAGGTGTTGCCGGTGTCCATACCACTAAACCAGGCGTATCGAGTGCGTTCGATGACTTTGTTGTATACACGTCAATGTATACAAGAAATGGCAGGATATGTCCACGAGTTAAAAGATTTGATCGCCACAACGGCGTCTGACTTTCAACCGGAGGCGGTAACGGGTATCCGATGCGAGTGTGACTTGCACCGAGGTCTTTTGCGTCCATCATACCTCCTTCAAGAAAGTATTGGGCGCTGGGATTGATGCGGAGCAAGATGGGGAGCTGGAAAAGTAGGCTCTACGAGCACGCCAGAGGCGATGAACCTCAGCAATGATTATGATAATCATAGAATGCTTTAAGCTGTCGCGCATCTTCGCAATACTTGTAGTATTTTATCTGCGGTAACACAAAGCGTCTGCACCTTGTGTGCTTGCTTTTGGCTGAGGGATATAAAAGGATGGCGTGTCATGCAACAGCGGCGACGAAAACCTAACAAGAAAGCGCTGGTCTTGATAAGCGCAAAATGGTCTATTGAGAAAATACCGCGGGTTATTGAATCTCGTGAAATTCGAATTAAGTGGTGCTGAGTCCTTTCATCAGCAACTCGATTATAGAGGTGGGGATCCATTTCTAGAGGATTTAGATGTTGGATGCCTCGAATTTTGTGATGCCGTGGAAATTCCTGATGGATTAAGAGCGGCGCGAGACAATTCAGCAGCAGATAGCATCGAAAAATTTGTCGAAAAGTATTTAAGATATCAAGTAAAGGTTGACGTATTTGACATTGTGAAACGTTGTCATTATAAACGTGGCTAGATAACCACAATGTTCGACTGGAAGAATGAAATTATATTGATTGCGCCTTTCTCCTGGAAGTGCTATGGTAAGTAATGGAACTATGACGATCGGAAACCAGAAGCGCTTATGGCGCGTGTTCAATGCTGCGATAGCTATTGTGTAGACCCTGTAGATGAGAAAGATGGGTTAAACTTGTCACAAAGTGACGGTACAGCTGAGTTATCACTACCGCGTGACGGGTCTACCGTGCGAAGGAATGAGATTTCACGAGCAAGTGGTGAGAAACATCAGTCAATTGTGAATGAAGCGACCGAGGCAGTCTAAGATTTGTAGTCTTCTTCTGCTCACTACCTCCGGCGGAAACTCTGCTTACTACCTCCGGCGGAAAACCTCATAGCTTTGAAGTAATTAATTCTTAGAAGTATATATAAATATTTGCAAGACGCAAAGATCACCAAACAAGTACGGCTGATTTCAGAGTAGAGGCTGAGCTTGACATTCGCCATAGGTGAATCCGCTACTGAGAACTATTACAAAGCACTGGGGGTGAGGAGAAGGCAAAGCAACAATATTTCAGTTTTCTATAAATCCTTTTGTTCTAAGCTACAAAAACTATTGCGACGTGGCGACAAAAATTCACCATCCGTCTTACTCCCAGATAAGGAGCCCGTCACTTAGTTGACTAGATCTAAGGTGCTTATAAATTGTGAGATTTGGCAATGCCTCTTACAAGGAAGCAGTATGACAACATGTCAGGCCAAAAGCACGAAGCGGGATTGGTAAGACTCAAAGAATGCTTACATTCGGCGCCGACCTTATGTATCAGAAAGGCTAAGGGAAGGTGTCAACTTATGTATGCTCATAATACGCCAAATTCAATTAAGATGTTGGCGCGAAATTCGTTTCTATAAAGAATGTGCTGCTGAACGGCATAATCGGCTTGACATGACAAATGATTATTTTTAGCTACTGAGAGAGATAGCGACATCTCTTTACTGCAGTAAGTCCTCCTATTAAGCATAAATAAAAAACTTATTTTGATGCTATATCTGATCATACAGACTTGGAGATCCACGTATAATACCTTTGTGAGCAGTGCTCGAGTTTTTTTGCTTGAAAATGCTATTTGCCAATGTACATGTGTGACTTTGGCACCAAGGCATCCCATTTTGCGTTTCTTGTGCCGAGAGACATGCAAAAAAATTGGTTGATTGACCGAATCTGCCTTTTAAAGAGACCTTAGGATGTTGTTCGGTCGAGCTAACGACTTTCACAAGCACAGTGCAAACTCAGCTGACATACCATGGTCCCTCATATCTCCTAAAGCGCAGGGTGCTGTAGGTTTGACAAGAGAGGTGACCTTTATAGCTGTGAAGGCAAACCTCATGCATGCCTTGATTCTGAGTCGTCTGTTACGCTTCGACTTTTAGTAAGGTTGTGTTTTACTTCAAGCAGATGCCAGTAGGGTTGTTTGCATCTGAATCGCATCATCTGAATGCTTTGGGCTGAGCTACCCTGTTATTAGCAAGATCTTACTTGCAACAAGTATGTCTTTTTCACGTTTAGGCTGCACTTGATTGGCTTTGAGCCGTTTGTGATCTATTCAGAATGTGCGTTGTTGTGCTCAGCGACGTCATCACCACATCTCTATGGTCAATATTTTTTGCATAGAATTCCTTTGACGTGATGTATAGGATAGATCGGATAATGTTGTGATAAATGCGATTTTGCGTAGCCCCTGCACTGGATTATCGCAGCTACGTCGCCGATAGAACAGGCGATAGGTACAGCGCACCGGTCAGACGCAAATGTGTCGGGCTGATAAAATCAAGGAGACTGAGTAGAACCTACCGCCTGTCGAAGCGCGCCGTCGCACGTCTCACCGCTATATATTATCCCAAATTTTGTTACAGCACAAACGCACAAGACACTCAGCGTGTAGTGGTGTCTCACGATGAGGACCGCAATTTCACAATATTGTACGTGGCATGATACCCCTTTCCGGTGGCAAGATTCGTAAAAGAAGAAATACTGCTCAGTGAGCTACATATATTGGTGACCCAATATGTTATAATGAACTATACTCTCGCTGCATGCGGCGATTTTTATATTTAGCCTGTCGAGCCCGGCAGATTAGGACAGTCCATAAACATATTTTCATTTTCGGTCCCCCAATAGACGCATCCTGTACTACAGAAGTTGCGGTATTTGTGGATCGTCTGAGCAAGATGAATCATCTTGCTGCTGTCAGCATTTGGCCGGTGAGGGTGAATCGGGATGTTCCTCAAGCAAAAGTTTATGCCAACATAGAATATCGGTAGCCATTGTATTGGAAAGATTTTCGCTAAACAGCAAATAATCAAAAGACATTATTCAATGTGCTTGACATTAGATTGAATATATCAACCGCTAGAAGGTGGCCATAGGGAATCCGGGAGACGCATTTTGATAGATATATTTGCTGAGTTACTCGCGCGGCAAAACCGCGGTGCAGGTGTGAGCTGCTCGAAAGTTATTGACCTCGCGCTAAATTTTGCAGTACATGAATTTACAAGCTTTACTCCAATTTTCTTGAATGATTTAAAGAAACATCGGGTGCCTTAGGCATCACCACGATGCGGCATCGATCTTTGGTGCGGGCTGTCGATTAAGATTGACTTACTGATATCAGCCAGGTTTTTGTTTGCGGCAAAATAGATTTCTTTATCCTGACGCGATTGAGCGTCATGCGCAGGGAACGCGATACGTTAGCTGAGAGTTCAGTCGAACAAAACGACACGCCGATACCAAAGGCGAACTCAAAACACAAGATTGAGTTGTGGACTGAAACCTTTTACTGAATGCAAATAACTTCTTACACATGCAGTGTCTGCCGTAAATGAAAATGAGCTGCTACTGCGCTACATCGAGCCGTTCACGGTCGTACCTTAGACGGATTGAGTTGTACGATCAACAGCTTGATAGGAATGCGACCTCATCTAGTGTTCTATGTATATGTATTGCAGCCGTACAATGATCCCGCTATTGTGAGCCAGCTTGACTATTTTTCTTGGCGACAGGCCAATAATTTCTTCTGTAACTTGGCTGGCAACCTTTGCTCAAAAGCAGC